AAACTCTTGGGCACAAAATGTAAAATCCCTTGAAAGTCTTCTCTTAGAGAGTAACGATCTCATTCCATATTCCAAATGTATTTTTTTTCTTTTTATGTACAATCTACAAAAAGTACATCTTTGTTTTGTTAAATCCTGAAAAAAAGCAGTTCAGAACACTCTACAATGAGGGAAGTGCTTGCTACATATCCAAAACTTTAATTTCAAGAAAAAGTAGTCTGAAACCAGGAGTATGTTAACTTTTTTATATTTGAATGATGAAGATTAAAATTACTTTGTCATTTTCTTAATTTCACTCAGCATTTCCTATGAAACTGAAATATCATCTTTATTATCTAAATATAATTAATGTTTCCTTCTCATATACTTTTTTTCCCTGAGTAATTATTCATTAGCGATTGTGCCTTTTGAAACCATTTTCATCAAAAATGCTTTTAGTAATCTGCTTGGTTTCATAACTTCTGCTGTGAAAGTAGACCTTGCAGTACCACTTGTCAAACAGCGTATTGAAAGAACGTGCAAAAGTTGCTATAAATTAGAGTTTTTCAAAACAATGAACTTTTACAGGAACATGCAATTTTAGGATACTGCGTAATTGAACAGAACAGGAATTTTTTAAGGCTTAAGTTAATTACGGAAGTAAGACATCGCTTACCAGGCGATGGTGTATTAAAAGTGTGTCAGTTATCATCCCTTTTGGTGACACTGTAGGTCCTTGATACTGTTTCTGTAATTCAGATATCAAGTTTCGGTCAGTCTGGTAGCATTAAATGTAAACCTCTGTGCCAATGGGTTGCATTAACTGCTTCTGTGTGGCATAGTTAACCTTATCGTGGTGGTGGTGGTGGCCCCGTTAGTGCTGGTATGGATAATGCCCTCTATAATCTGCCTTTTTTGCAGTGGAATAAACCTGAGAAAATTCCATGCAAATATTCAATTGCTTTTTCTTGGTAATACTTAGTGGATGGGATACCATCAGCATCAAATCACCATCATTTTATTTCGTTGTAGAACAGGTGTGTTTCGGAGGAATGCTTAAAGCTCAGTTCCTCACAAATACTATTTTAAAAAGCTGGCTACAGTGCGGCATGGGCTGATGCTAACATTTCAGTGAACATTTCCTTACTTCTTCCTGATTCAGACAAAATAGTGATTATAGTATTTTAAGTGCTCATTTAGTAAGCTATCACACGTAGATATTTTTTCCCTTTGCATTTCAGTTTACCTCTTTTAAGTCCACAGATCTTGTACAATGATTTGAGCTCATGAAATGCATACTACTTTGATCTGTGACCTTTTTGTGGTGCTAATCGGGTTCCTGATATCATTATACCTTGCTCATTAATCATATTTCCTGCAGCAAGTCAGCCAGCCAGACAGCCCAAGCCCCAGTTTGCAGCCTTGTGTTGGCAGGTTTCTGCTTTTCCAGATTATTACAGTGTGATACTTTGGCTTCTCATAACCAGACCCACATCAAGCTGTGTGCTACAATTAAAGTCAGATGGTCCTCAGGTTGAACGGGGATATACAGTTGCAGCTGTCTGTCTTCCTGGAACAGACCAGCACGGGGAACAGATGATATGTAGGACAGTGCATAATAACAGCTTGTAGAGTACTGGGTCAATAGCAGGGGTTCAGAACATTAATTGACAGCCTGATAGCCGATTTAAAAGTGATTCCCGATCTATTTTTAGTTCTATAAAGTATGTGTTTTAATTGAAATAAATCGTTGCATGTCCTCTGTGTTTGCTCTGAGAGAAAAGGCAGAATGGTACGTAATTAAAACTGGATTTTGATTGATGGAATGTCATGATGAGCTAAATGATAGCATCAGGATGTCATTCTAAGCAATACAAAGAAGCGTAAAATGCATGTATTGCATCTGCATCTAGTTGGTACTTTGTATTAGTTTGTGATAGCACGATATTTTATAACAGTACCAATCAATGCAGGGGGTACGGTATTTTTCTCTGAGACAGTCTACAGTTTGATGGAAAAGTGGGGTTTTACCATTCTGAAACCTTATTATAGATCTCTAAAGCTCTGTGTTGTATTTAGTGACATAGAATAACTGCTAAGATACCTGAAACTATCTTTCAGCTTACACAGATGCAGTTGACAATAATTGTATTGTTGTATAATTCCATCATTTTATATATATGTGTGTGTGTAATAAGAATTATAGTATTAGCTTAATAAAAGTAAAAAACCTACATACAAACTTTTAAATGAGATAAAATTATAATTCCTCCCCCCCCCCAAAAAAAAAAACCAAACCAGAAAAATCCCAAATGCAATATACTATTGCATCGTTACTTTATTATTTCAAACTTACAATATCTTTAGGGCATTAGTGTGTCAGCAAAGGAGAGAATGCTAACTTGTTGTGATATCTAACAAAAAGAAAATACCCAATAATTTTTTGGTTCTCTCATGCTTCTGAGAGACCTATAGGAAAAAGAAATAGGAAGTAAACTGGGAAGGGAAGAGTATGAAGAGATAGATGTTCAGATGTTTGGATACAGAAATCTTAAACAAAAACTATAGCAGTAGTTGTCAGACATTGAAATAGACATATCTTTTTAAATGTAGATTTTTCTGAGGTCTTTTGTTGGCTTCCCAGTTTTAGTTATGTTAGCTGCCCTCCTTTGGGATAGTGTTCTGGTTTAGAAATTTAAATTCACTTGTTTGAGTTAGTGATAATTACCCCATTAAAGCTGATAGAAATTATAAATGCCTTTCTTACCATGCACAACAAAGTAGACATTCACAAAGACCTGGTACAATCCAAGAAAAAGTCCCATACTTCCCAATAATAGCAATAGTTAAAAATCCCAATAAGGCAATTCTGTTTGTTCTAAATAGTGAAGTCTGTTTTGTCCTGTCGTTGAAGGTTGGATGTCTGAGTAGGTAAGAATTAATTTAAAACTATTAATCAACTGATAATATCTAAATTTCACTCAGCTTTGATGAGCCTCATGTTTTTGAGAATTAGATTGCTTCAATGATAATAAAGTTGTTGAGGTCTGTCAAGACAGCTTTCTACAATATATCTCAATTTATTTTAGTGCTTTATTAGAGAATTAGTCTTTTCATGATTAGTGGTTTATCCATTTGATTCAATGCTGAGGAAAACAGAAGACAAATTAGAAAAGTGATGGGATTACTGTGCTGGATTGAAAGTTTCGAAATCCAATTTTCAAATTATTGAAAATGTAGTCATTGGAAGCTAGGACGCTTTCTGAAACAAATGAAATACCTAAATACATAAAGGTACTATACACAAAATTTGTCCTGGCATGATAAGTAAAATGGAGAGGAAGAGTAGGCCA